ATTTCTACCTGGACTTGCCTGTTGCTTCCACCTGTCACCACTTGATGGAGCTTCCAACCTCACATCAACACACAAACCACCACAGTATGCTAAGGACAGGAGACCACGACCACACTGAGGCACTGCGTTCCCCCTGCCCCACCCACCCCCCAGCATGGCAGCCTAGTGCATGACCACAGCGCCATCAGGACCATTTCAGCCGCAGAGCACATTGACGGGAGCTGCCAGAGGTGCAGGCTGGAGTCAGAAGTGCACGTGGACCAAGGGATCTCATTGCTAATGTCCGGCTCTGGCTCAGAGCAGAGACCACCAGAAAGATGTTTACTTCTGTTTCATTCGCTCTGCCAAGGCATGCGGCTGGTGGGTTGTTACAAACTACGGATTGCCTAGGGAAGAGTGGAAATTCGGAACACTTCATTGTGCTCTTGCGGGCCCTGTATATGCATCAAGAGGTGGTTGTGGGGAGAAACCAGCAGAATCCTGCATGGCTTCAGATCAGAGAAAGCGCGCATCAGGGGTGTATCCTCTCACCATACTTACTCAACTTGATTACTTTGCCCAATCATCTGTTGTTGTTAAGTGCCATTTAGTCGGCTCTGACCCATAGCGACTCCATGCACAACAGAAGGAAACACTTCCTAATCCTGCTTCATCCTCACAAGTGTTCCTATGCCTGAGCCCACTGAGGCCGCCATTGTGTCAGTCCATCTCGTAGTGGGCCTTCCTCCTTTTCATCACTCTCCGCTTTACCGATCATAATGCCCTTCTCCAGGGACTGGTGTCTCCTGACAACATGTCCGGCACTCTAGCCTCACTTCTTCCAACACAGATCAGCCTGTCCTTTTAACAGCCCATGGTACTTTCAGTGTTCTCCTTCAGGCCCACCGCTCAAATGCACCAATTCTTTCACAATCTTCCTTACCCAGTGTCCAATTTTCACGTGCATAGGATACAATGGAGAACACCATGGCTGGGGTCAGGTGCACCTTAGCCCTCAAAGTGACATCCTTTCACTCCAACACTCCAAAGAGGTCAATGTCTGGGATCTCCCGACCGCTGCTTCCATGACCACTGACTGTGGATCCAAGTAAGACGAAATCCTGGACAACTTCAACCCTTTCTCCGTTTGTCGTGATAGTCATCAGCAAGTGCTTCAGTTCCTCCTCCCTGTCAGTGAGCAAGGTTGGGTCACCTACATTCCTCAGGTTGTTATAAGCCCTCCTCCGATCCTGATGCCACACTCCTGTAATCCAGCTTCTCTGATGATTTGCTCAGCACACAGATTAAACAAGTATGGTCAGAGGATACACCCACCTTTCCTGATTTTAAACGATGCAGGATTCCTTTGTTCTTCAGAGAAGCTGGATTATAAGAAGAAGAATGTAGTATCAGGATTGGACAAAGGCTTATCAGCAGCCTCTGATACGCAGATGACACAACCTTGCTTGCTAACAGTAAGGAGGACTTGAGGCACTTTACTGATGAGGGTCAAGGATTACAGCCTTCACTATGACTTAACCACTCGATATAAAGAAGAACCCCACTCTCCCAATGGGGCCTATAGTAGCATCACAATAAACAGACGAAAGATTGAAGTTGTCCAAGGATTTAATCTTTCCAGGGTCCACAGTCAGTGCTCATGGAAGCAGCAGTCAGGAGATCAAATGACACATTGTATCGGGTGAATGTGCTGCATAAGATCTCTCCAGGTGTTGAAAAGCAAGGATGTTACTTTGAAGACTAAGGTATGCCTGATCCAAGCCATGGCATTCTCCATTGCCTCATATGCCTGTGAAAGTTGGACACTGCATAAGGAAGACCGAGGGCAAATGGATGCATTTGAACGACGGTGCTGGCAAAGAGCATTGAAAGTCCCAGGGACTGCTAACAGTCAACAGATCTATCCTGGAAGAAGTACAGCCAGACTACTGAGCAGCAACGATGGCAACACTTGGTCTCATATACTTTGGTCATGTTCTCAGTGGAGACCAGTCCCTAGAGAAAGACATCGTGCTTGGTAAAGTAAAAGAGCAGCGAAAACAGGAAGGCCCACTGCGAGACGGACAGACCGACGGACGGAGCCAGGGGCTGCACCAGTGGCCTCCAACATTAGAACAGTTGTGAGGCTGGCACAGGACCGGGCACTGTCTCCTTCTTTGGTACGTAAGGTCGCTGCGAGCCGGAGTCAACTGGATGGCACCTCCCAACAACAGACGGTGCGAGATTGAAGGGTTCTATGTGCAGGGGACATCAAAAGCAGGTGGAAGGAATGCAGTCATTACACCAGAAAGAACTGGTCGTTTCCGGAGGGGGCATATGAGCATGGTCCAATGGTGCTGAAGGAAGACAGTCAAGCTGCGCTGAGAGCACTGGCCAGAAACAAGACTCCAAGGTGGACGGAATACCAAGGGAAATGTCTCGGCACGCTGATGAAGCACTGGAAGCACTCACTTGTTGATGACAGGAGGTTTGGAAGACAGCTGCTCGGCCACCTGGCTGGAAGAGATCCATTTCAAAGGAAGATAACAGAATGCAGACATTCTAGAACATCGTTATTATCACATGCAAGTGAAGTTTTGCTGAAGCTAATTAAAAATCTTTGCAGAATTATATGGATAGAGAGTTGCCAGCAGGTCAGGCTGGATTCAGAAGAGGACGTGGAACATGGGATATCGTCGCTGATGTCAGATGGATCTGGCTGAAAGCAGAGACCACCAGGAAGATGCTTGCTTGCGTGGTACTGACTGTGGCAAGGCGGTCATCATGATGCACGAACACCCTTAGAGAGGAGCTGGAGTTCCAGGACAATTCATGGTGCTCATGGACAGAACAAGGGAACACTGCGCAGTTTAAAATCAGGAAAGGTGTTCCTCAGAATCTTATCCTCTAGCCATACTTATTCAATCTGTATATTAAAAAAAATCAAACTCGCTGGCACCGTGTCAGCCTTGACTCAGAGTGACCCTCTAGAGCAAGGTAGACTGCGCCTGGAGGTTTCTGAGCCTGTCGCTCTCGTACAGGAGCAGGAAGCCTTGCCTTATCTTTTTCCCACAGAGAGACTAGAGGCATCAAGTGCTGCCCTGGTGGTTATCAGCCCAATGCACTGGCGCTACCTTAGAAAGACTCAAACCTAACCCACCGCCGTCAAGGAGAGAGCTGTCCTTGTGGCTTTCTGTGACAGTAACTGCGTATGGAACGAGAAAGCCTTGTCTTTCTCCCAAGGCGTGGCTGGTAGTTTTAAACTGCCGACCTTGAAGTTAGCAGCCCAACGTGTAACCACTGTGCCATGAACAGAGCAGTTAATCAGAGATGCTGGCTTATATGAAGCAGAAGGTGGCACCAGGACTAGAGGAAGACGTATTGACCATCTGTAGTGTGACAAACCTCGCCTTGCTTAGAGGAGGGCGTGAAGCACTTGCTGATGAAGATCAAGGACTGCAGGCTTCGTGATGCAATGTGAATGAAACAAAAACCCTCGCAACTGGACCGCTAGATGACACCATGATGAACAGAGACAAGGTTGAAGTCAAGGATGGCATTTTAAGTCAATCCACCACCAGTGCTCATGGAAGCAGCAGTTGAGAAGGAGGGATTATGTTGGGAAAGTCTGCCGCACAAAGCCTCAGCAGTGTCTTACAGAGCAGAGCCTTCACTTCGAGGACTGACATTGCCGACCTGATGCCTGGTGTCTGCAGTCTCCTCCAGGCTCCTATGCACGTGGCGGGTGGACAGTGGATAAGGAGACTGAAGAAGAATGGATGCACTTGAAGTGTGGTGCTGGAGAGGAATGTTGAGAGTGTGGAGCCGGCCACAAGAACAAAGAGGTCTGTCTTGAAACAAGTATGGCCAGACGCTCCTTAGAGCCAGGTTGCTCGGTAGAGCAGGTCAGTGAAGAAGAGGAAGCCCCAGGAGCTGGACTGGGTCCGTGGCTGGTACAGTGAGCTCACACAGAACGAGCTCCTTTAGCTGCACAAGGAGTCGTGCTGCGTTGAGACTGTCTTGGCGGCATCTGACAACTGTGGTGGGCTTCCAACAGTCCGCTTGGCTGTCCAAACCCACCAGGTGCCCACCCTGCAGGAGAGAGATGCGGCTGCGCGCTCCCTTGCAGATTGCATCCATTGCTCCACAGGGCTGCCATGGATACGATTTGGGTCTGTGAAGGGTTAATTGGGGTTCGGTCCTGGAAGCTGAGAGTCCAAAATGGGCTCTTGGGCTAAAATCAGGGTTGTGTGGCGGGTTCCTTCAAGAGCTTCTAGGGAGAACTGGCTCTAGGTTTTCCGGTTTCTGGCCTCCTACCCACCCCCCGCCCCGCCCCCTTGACACTCACTAGGCCATCCTGGGTCTCCACAGCCCGCGTCGCGTCAGAGCATCTCTCAGTGTCCCTGCGCTGTCCTCACATCCCCTGGCTTACTGTGACCCTCCTCCCATTGGGGCCTGGATGGCCTAAGTCATCTCCCCTGTTTTCGAGGTGGCGCCCCCTGCGGCCAGCCCTTCCCCATGAGTCACCACAGTCCCCAGCTCCGGGGCTGCAGACTGGCTGTCTGGGGCACTCACCTTTCCTCCAACTCCTGCTGCCTCCAGGAACCCAGCGGACTGTGTTTCCATGCCAGGCTGCCATCCACCAGCTGCCTCGTAGAGGAAAGAGGAGACTCTAACCCCATAGAGTTAGTGTCAGGAACCCGCAGAGTCAGCTGCACCCTGCCCTCCAGGGCTGCTGTGAGTCGGTGCCAACGAGATGGCAGTGAGTTGAGTTCCCGGAGCCCTGTGGGGGACAGGGCCTCTTCCAGGGTAGGCCATTCTCCCATGGGCCTCTGGGTGGACTCCCACCTCCCACTCCGCTGAGGCAGGTGAATGTGCTCACCGCAGGCTCCCCCAGAAACTGCCCTGAAGGGACCAAGGACATGGCTGAAGAGACAGCTTTTGTCTGGAGCAGCCACCTTGTGTGTCCCCAAGTCCCTGGCTCCCTCACCCCTTCACACACACCCTCCTTCTGCCCCCAGGACTCTTCGTGCCTCGACGAGCTCTCCAATGCCTCCTTCCTGTCCTCATCCGTGGACTCCCTCTCGGACATTGTGGACACGGCCGACTTCCTGCCCGCCGACGGCCTCAGCCAGGTGCCCACCATCTGGGATGTGAGCACTGCCTCGCCTGCCCAAGACAAGGTCGGTTTCCTCCCCTGTGCTACCCCCACCACTGCCACAGGCCCATGGGGGACACTGGCCTCGCACAGACCTGGGAGAATCACCCATGGGCCTCCTTACCTTCTCAGACCGGGGGTCACCTTAGACACCCCCACCTGCTCACAGACCCGAGGGTAAGCCCCTCACTCACAGATGTGAGGTCATCTATTGGTCCCCCTCACCTCACAAACCCAGGGGGGTCATTTGGAAGGGCATCCACGATCAGTGGGAGGGCATCCCTGGACAGAGGTGAGCGGGTGTTTGTGGGCAGTGATGGGAACATCGTTGGCAGAGGTGGGGGGTGTTAACTGGCAGAAGTGGGAGCAACTGCACACAGGAATCCAGGTGCTGAGGCCTGAGGGGGTCCATGGGGCTGAGAGCGGAGTTCAGGGGGTGGACCCTGAGTCTCACTGAAAAGTCCCCCCATGAGCAGGCTAGAGTCGCGGGCCAGGCACAAGCTCGCGCTCCATCAGGGCTCACTGTCCGCTGGCCACCCATACAGGCTGGCCCAGGTCGGCTGGAATGAGCCCCCAGCCCTGCTCCACTGCCCTGGGCCTCCAAGGCTGCAGGCCTTGTCCCTACAGGCAGTGGTGAGGGCCTGAGGATGCCCCCTCCCCTGGCTGCAGGAACGGTGACTCACCCTTCCCGGAACCCTGTGTGCTTGGTGTGCGGTTGGTCATGTGAGCGAAAGGGGCAGCTGGGCTCCCTCCCCTACCTTCTCCTCCTAGTTCCGGGCGTCCCCCACCCAATCCTGGTCTCACCCCCTTCTCCTCCCAGCTCCCCCCTCCCCCAGTAGCTGTCCCGGTATCACCCCCATTCTCCTCAAACTGTCTGACCCGAACCCTGCAGCTCAGCTTCAGGACAGTTGACGGGGACCAGGGGGCTGGGCAAGACCAGTGGCCCCCCTACTCCCCAGCCTCAACCTCAGGTCTTCTTTATTTTTAGCATGCTCCGGGGCTATTTTTACTCTTTTTCCAATTGTGGTCAGTCGTGACTCAAAACTTGCTTTTGGAGGGTTTTTTAAGTCCGTGCAGGGAGCCCTAGTGGCCTGTTAGTTAAGCACTTGGCCCTGGCCAAGAAGTCAGTGGTTCAAGCTGCCAGTCTCTTGCTGAGAGAGAAGCCTGGGCTCCTGCCCCACACAAAATCATAACCCCACTAGGGCAGCCTTCAGCAAGGGGCACAATGGCTGCCCACACTCACCATGCCATCCCTGAGCGCCAACCACCCGCCTGCTCTGGGCTCCACTGGGTGTCTCGGCCACCTGGCCTCAGAGCTGAGGTCAGCCCCACTCCTGTAATCTCCACCTTTTGGTCCTGGACTCCTCAGTGGACCCAGCCTAGGCCAGGCACCCTCCTTTCCAGGGACCCAATCAGCTGCTGCATACCATGTCTGTGTGTCCCTGGGAGGACCCCACCCTGTACCCCAAATGCCACTGTGAATTGGGACTCTCAGGCCTCCAGCTCTCTTGGCCACATAGGGGCCCCACTGCCTAAGTACCCAGATGGCGCTGCTGTCCCCCCAATGCCCGCAGTGGGTACCCAGCCAGGGATCCGTGAGTCAACCTCCCAGAAGCTTACCGGGAGTGTCCCTTGGGCTGACTGCTTGTCTGGCACCCCCTCCCTAGCTTTTCCTGCCTAGCGGGCCATTCCCAGGCCTCCAGGACTCCGTGTCCACCCTCCCTGCCACTCCACTCCTCATCAGCTACCAGGTGAGCCTTAGCTGGCCTGCCCCTCCCCTGGGGGTCTTGGTAGGGGCATGGAGTTGCAGGGGGTGGAGTGGGGGTCTCAGGGTCGGGACCCCCACACACTGCCCCTCAGTCGCAGAGCCAGCCCGAGGACGAGGAGGAGGCTGAGGAGGAGGAGACAGAGGAGTTGGGTCACACGGAGACCTACGCTGACTACGTGCCCTCCAAGTGTGAGTGGGTGCAGTGGCTATCGGGGTGGGGGTAGGGGTGGGGGGTAAGCTCGTGTGTGTCCCAGCAGCTGCTGTGTGCTGGTCACACAAGGCCCTTCTGCGCTCCTCAGAGGAGCCCTGGGCTCTCTGGCAGCGTGAGCCTGACTCCTAACCTCCGGCCCTTGCAGCCAAGATCGGGAAGCACCACCCAGACCGTGTCGTGGAGACCAGCACCCTGTCAAGCGTGCCCCCACCCGATGTCACATACATGCTGGCCCTGCCTGTCTGCACCCTGGACAGTGGGGCACTGTCTGCCCTGCAGCTGGAGGCCATCACCTATGCCTGCCAGGTGTGTGCCCATTGCCCACTCTGAAACCCCGCCACCAGCCCCCAGGCACTGACTGCCTCTCCCCCACAGCAACATGAGGTCCTGCTCCCCAATGGACAGCGGGCTGGCTTCCTCATCGGTGACGGGGCTGGTGTGGGCAAGGGCCGCACAGTGGCTGGCATCATATTCGAGAACTACCTGAAGGGCAGGAAGAAGTCCCTGTGGTGAGTACTCCCGGAGCCAGCTGGGCAGGCGGGCCCCAGCCTGGTCCCCTCCTGACCCCGGGGTCCTCTCCCAGGTTCAGCGTTTCCAATGATCTCAAGTACGACGCGGAGCGTGACCTGCGGGACATTGAGGCCCCCAGCATCCCTGTGCATGCACTCAGCAAGGTGCGGCCAGGACCCCTCCGGCCCTACCCTGCCCTGCCCCCTGCCTGGGGGAACCCCCTCCTCCACCTGACCCCTGAGGTCCCGCCTCCCTCCCCTCTTGTCCTGAGTTTGAGGAGGCCTTTGGGCTCCCCTGCCTCCCCCACAGCAAGGCCCCACTACCCTCTTCTTGCTCTTCCTGCCTGGTGGGGTCTGTGCCCCAACACACTGAGCTGAAGCCCACGACCAGCGCAGGTCTCTGGCCTCTGCCTAGTGAGGGCTGCAGCAGCCAAGAGCACTCACAAATGGGCACAGTGTGCCCACGCACATGTCCACTCCTGCTCTCTCCAGATCAAATACGGCGACAACACTGCCTCCGAGGGCGTCCTCTTTGCCACCTACTCTGCGCTCATCGGAGAAAGCCAGGCTGGCGGGCAGCACCGCACACGCCTCCGGCAGATCCTCGAGTGGTGCGGGGCCGCCTTCGACGGGGTCGTATCCTGCACTGGGGGCGGAGGGACCTTCGATGGGGTCTTATCCTGCAAATGGGCGGGGGGACCTTCGACGGGGTCGTATCCTGCACTGGGGGCGGGAGGGACCTTCAATGGGGTCGTATCCTGCACTGGGGGGACCAAGGCTGCCTTCAACGGGGTCAGATCCTGCATGTGGGATGGTCCTTAACCCACACCCACAGATCGTATTTGACGAGTGCCACAAAGCCAAAAACGCCAGTTCCACCAAGATGGGCAAAGCCGTGCTGGACCTGCAGAGCAAGCTGCCCCTGGCCCGGGTCGTCTATGCCAGCGCCACAGGTGAGGGGCCAGACAGCAGAGAGTGGGACAGGCTCAGCTGGCTGTACTGGACCTTCTGCCGCCAACTAGCAATGCCTGGGCCGCGAGGCTGCTCTGGCAGCCTCTGACATCACCAGGCTCATCTGGGCCCCAGCTGCCACTCACAGCACCCTAGGCTGTGAGGACGAAGACTTTGCCCAGCCCCTCAGCCCTCCATGGCACTGGCTCCATCTTTGGGGCCTGTTGAGGCCCAGCCTGACCTCTGGCTGAAGTGGCCAGGCTGACAACCCCTCCTGTTCCCGCTGCCCAGGGGCCTCGGAGCCACGGAACATGATCTACATGAGCCGCCTGGGCATCTGGGGTGAGGGCACGCCTTTCCGTACCTTCGAAGAGTTTCTCCACGCCATCGAGAAGAGGTGGGCACCTGCCCTGCGAGGTGGGGTAGGGGACCTGCCTCAGCATTCTGGCTCAGCATTCCCGTGCTATAGAGAAGAGGTGGGCTGCCAGGTGCTCCTGGCCACAGGGCCTTTGCACAGGCTGCCCTGCCATGCAGAGCCAGAGAGCACTGAGGTCTTGGGCTGCATCTGCAGGGGCGTGGGCGCCATGGAGATCGTGGCCATGGACATGAAAGTCAGCGGCATGTACATCGCACGCCAGCTCAGCTTCTCCGGGGTTACCTTCCGCATTGAGGAGATCCCGCTGGCCCCCGCCTTTGAGCGCATCTATAACCGCGCGGCCCTGTTGGTGAGTGTGGAGGCCCTGGACATATGTGTGCACAGAACGGGCCAGGCTGCTCGCTGGATCGGGGGTAGGGCTGCCCTGAACACTGCAGGTGCTAGAGCGCAACTCTGGCCCCCACCCTTCTAGGGCCGTGGCACCCCCATAGGTGTCTCCAGATTTCACTTAGGGTCTGCTGGGGTAGCATGGCTGGGTTTAGAACCCCTGGGGTGGGGAACTCATTGGCCCCCAACATTTCTGCACCCCATAATCACTCAGCCTGCTGATCTGCTCGTATACTGCCCAGGTGGGAACCCACATGCCCAGTGAGCAGCCGATTGCCACCACCTAACCCGTGGGGGTTGGGTGTGGGTGACTGCATCGCCCACCAGTCCGTGCTCAGCTCCACTGTCCTTGCAGTGGGCCGAAGCCCTGGGCATGTTCCAGCGGGCAGCCGACTGGATCGGCCTGGAGTCACGCAAGTCCCTGTGGGGCCAGTTCTGGTCAGCTCATCAGCGCTTCTTCAAGTACCTGTGCATCGCAGCCAAAGTGCGCCGCCTGGTAGAGCTGGCACGCCAGGAGCTGGCCCGGGACAAGGTGAGGGGTGGGGCCCAGCCTGAAAGGCAGAGCTGAACAGGGTGGGCTGAAGGAGGGGCGGGGCAGAGCTGCCCTACCTCTGACGGCCAGTGTCCCGACGACAGTGCGTGGTGATCGGGCTGCAGTCTACAGGCGAGGCGCGGACCCGAGAGGTGCTGGACGAGAACGATGGGCACCTGCACTGCTTCGTCTCAGCCGCAGAGTGAGCGACTGGGCCCACAGTGCCCCCCCCACCCAGCCACCAAACTCCCTCCCCAAGGACTCAACTGGGAGCCCCCAGCCGAGCCCCTGGAGGCAGGATTGGCCCTGGGTACCTGCCCTCCACCCACTCCTGTCCCCAGAGAGCCCTGCGGAGCCTCCTGTCCACCCAGGGGAGGCCAACAAGCTGACCCCGCCTCTCCCCCCCAGAGGTGTCTTCCTCTCGCTCATCCAGAAGCACTTCCCATCAGCCAAGAGGCGGCGCGAGCGAGCTGCAGGCGCCAAGCGGAAGCGTGAGTGAGACCCCGCCCCTGACCCCCGCTCCCCAGCCCAATGAAGCCCCAGGCATGAGGGCACAGGCCCATGGTGTCCCCCCTTTGTCCTGCTCCTCGCCTAGAAACCTTGAGTTAACAAACCGCTGAGCTCAAGCCTCCCTCCACTTGAGTGATGGCTAGCTGCCCTTGGTGCCACAGTGGTTAGCTATGTGGAGGGGACCAAGCTGCAGAGGGAAAGGGGCCAGAGAGCCTCCCCCCAACCAAGCCTGCGGCTGCAGGGAATCAGATAACAATGAAGGGAGCCCTGTCGGGCTTGGGGGCCAGGATGGGCACTGTCATCACCTGTACCATGAGACCTGCTGGAGCACGGTCCCCATCGTCCCCGCCCAGGCTCTCTGGCCAACTCCTCTCTGCTGCCCTTCTCCCCACCGGGCCCTCTGAATCGGACCCCAGTGAGCATGTCCCTTCCCTCAGGGCGGCCGCGGAGCCGCGCCGTCAAGACGCCCCGGCTGCTGTGCGAAGTGGCTGGCGTTATCCGAATCAGCGACGACAGCAGCACAGAGTCAGACGCCGGCCTGGACAGCGACTTCCACTCCTCCCCTGAGTCCCTGGCCGATGACGATGTAGTCATTGTAGAGGCGCTAGGCCTCGCTGTTGAAGACAGAGGTGAGGCTGGCCTCTTGACCCTCCGTGACCCAGGGCATGACCTTCAAGGTGGAGGGAGGCGGAGCAGCCCCTTGTCCCTCTGTGTCCCAGTGGGTTGCCTGCTCAGGGAAGAGGTCGGGCAGGGCCAGGCTGGGGGGTCCTATGGGAGAACGTTCCTGGTCCCACCCCTCCCCATGCTCCGCAGGCCCCCTGTGCCCCCCACAGCGGGACGTGCAGGGTCTAGGCGTGCTGGAGCGCGTGCAGCGCCTGAAGCAGGAGCTGTTGGCCAAGGTGCGAGACCTGGGTCGGGACCTGCCGGTAAACACCCTGGATGAGCTCATCGACCAGCTCGGGGGCCCCGAAGCCGTGGCTGAGGTGAGGGATCACCTACTGACTGTGGACAAGTCTCAGAGCCGCGTGGTCAGCCAGCCTTCACTGTCCAGGCCAAGCCTAGCCACCTGCCTGCCCTGGGGTCGGGGGAGAGGGTCTGCGGACAACCCTAACTAATCGGTGGGCCCCATTGCAAGACCCCCCAACTTGGGGTCCACACTACTGACACTCTGTCCCTGCCCCCCTTCTGTCTCCCCACGGCCACAGATGACTGGCAGGAAAGGACGGGTGGTGTCCAGGCCCAATGGGACAGTAGTCTTCGAGTCCCGGGCAGAGCAGGGCTTGTCCATTGACCACGTCAACCTCAGGGAAAAGGAGCGCTTCATGAGCGGCGAGAAGGTGGGCACCCTGGTGGGGCGTCGGAGTTGGGCAGGACACCAAAGGGGAGGAGGTGGGCACAGATTCAGGTGAAAGATGGGCGTGCTGGGCAGGGCTTGTTGGCAAGGAGGTGGGCGCATCTGCAGGAGCCTCGGTAGCACGCTAAGCATCAGCTGCTAATCTTAGCAAGGCCGTTGTCCCCACCAGCCATTGACTGGCCTCCAGCTTTGGCCTAGAGGAGCTGGCCCTGCCCGGTGGGTCGCGGTGCCAGCCTCGCCTCCACAGCCTGGGTTGACTTTGGGTTTGGTATTCCCGCCGTCATGGGCGACTGTTCACATACCTGTGACCTCGCCCGCGCACATCTGCACCAGCGTGCACATGCGGCCCAGCCTACGCTGTCTGGCAGCATTTGGGGGGTTTTGTGCCAGGCAAACACAAGTCCCCTTTCTGCCCCAGTGGTGTCATGCCACCATGGACCTCTTACTCTCGGCTGGAGAAGTGGGAGGTGCGGGGAGCTGGTTAATTGTGTGGGTGACTGCCCTGGCTGGCTCGCCCACCTGCCTTCTTGGCCCCCAGCTCGTGGCCATCATCTCAGAGGCGTCCAGCTCGGGCGTGTCCCTCCAAGCGGACCGCCGGGTGCAGAACCAGAGGCGGCGTGTCCACATGACGCTCGAGCTGCCCTGGAGCGCAGACCGTGCCATCCAGCAATTCGGTGAGCCCTGCGTCCCACCCCAGGAGCCCATGCAGCCTCCACTGGGCCTGGCCCCTCTCTGAGCCCCTTCCCTACCTCTATGAGACCACCCACCTCATGGGCCCGCCTCCTAGGCCCACCCCTGCCTTTGTGAGCACCCAAGGACCTCTACAGCCCTTCACTCCCTCCCTTGTCCCAAGTGCCCCCCCACGCCCACTGGGCAGCCACCCTGATTGCGGCCCTCTGTACGCAGGCCGCACTCACCGGTCGAACCAGGTCTCCGCACCCGAGTACGTGTTCCTTATTTCGGAGCTGGCAGGCGAGCGGAGGTTCGCCTCCATCGTGGCCAAGCGCCTGGAGAGCCTGGTGAGGGCCAGCTGGGGACGTGCCCTGGGCGGGAGCTGGCTGGGGAGCCAGGACCGCAGGAGCCGTGCCCGCCCTATCCTAACCCTCCTTCCCTGGCAGGGGGCTTTGACCCACGGAGATCGCCGTGCCACCGAGTCCCGAGACCTGAGCAAGTACAACTTCGAGAACAAGGTCCCTGTGTGGAGCATAGAGAGGGGCATACCAATGGGAGTGTGGTGGGGAGGGGCAGGTGGGCGGGTGGGTGGGGACACTGACCTGGGGCACTCTCTCTCTGCACAGTACGGTGCACGGGCCCTGCACTGCGTGCTCACCACCATCCTGAGCCAGACTGAGAACAAGGTCCCCCTGCCCCTGGGCTACCCTGGAGGGGATGCAGCCTTTTTCCGGGGTGAGCCCAGAGCTGAATCTGGGAGGGGGGCAATGGCCAGCCGGGCCTGGGGAAGAGTGCTGTTTAAGGTTGCCCGTGTTAAAGCAGGGGCTTGATGGTACCAGGGATGGGTCCTGGGGGGCTTGCCCTCTCTGCTGGGTGGGGGCAGAATACAGCTAAAAAAACCAGCGTCCTGCCCATCCCATCACTGGGTTCGAGTACTGGCTTTATCACCCACCCGGTGCAAGCCCAACTCTGAGATAACCTGATGCTGGCAAGGGGGCTGGGCTGCCCTCTCTGAGCACACTACTAGGCCCTTCAACTGCTTTCCCAAACCCCCCAGCGGGGATGGGGGGTGGTGGAGTGGTTTAGGAGGGTCCTGAGGTGGACTGAAGGTCTGATGGGTATAGCCCCCACCCACTCTCTCTCTTCCCCCACCCTCAACCAGACATGAAACAGGGCCTGCAGTCTGTGGGCATCAGTGGCCGAGAATCCAGGTCAGGCTGCCTGGATGTGGAGAAGGGTGAGTGGGGGTGGGGAGCTCCTCCTGTGGGGCTGCCTGAGGAAGTGGTGGGGTGGGGCGAGCCCTGGGTGACCTCCTCTTCCTCCTGCGGCGCCCAGACTGCTCCATCCCCAAGTTCCTGAACCGCATCCTGGGCCTGGAGGTGCACAAGCAGAACGCACTCTTCCAGTACTTCTCCGACACCTTCGAGCACCTCATTGCCGCCGACAAGAAGGAGGGCAAATACGACATGGGCATCCTGGGTGCGTGGCCGTCCAGGGTGGGGACGGGGCCTACTGTGGGAGGATGGCTGCCGCTGGGGGGGGTCCTCAACATGCTCCCCTCCCCGTGTGCCCCTGTAGACCTGGCCCCGGGCGTGGATGAGATCTACGAGGAGAGTCAGCAGGTATTTCTGACCCCTGGCCACCCCCAGGACGGCCAGGTGGTGTTCTACAAGGTAAGCAGGGCCGGCCACCCTGTACCCAACCAGCATGTCCTTGGCCCTGCCCACCCAGCCCTCTAATGGCCCTTGTTCGGTGGCAGATCAGTGTGGACCGCGGCCTGCGTTGGGAGGAGGCTTTCGCCAAGTCCCTGGAACTGACTGGCTCCCATGACGGCTTCTACCTCTCTTACAAGGTGGGCCTCCCCTCTGCCTTCTGGGCTCCCCAGCCCTTCCCAGCACACCTCCGGCCTCACATGCACCTGCACCCCCCGCAGGTCCGAGGCAACAAAACCAGCTGCCTGCTGGCCGAGCAGGACCGCGGCAAGCACTTCACTGTATACAAGCCCAACATCGGCCGGCAGAGCCAACCGGAGACCCTGGACGGCCTCTGCCGCAAGTTCCACAGGGTGAGACCCGTACCCTGTCCTCGGCCCCACGTTGTCCCTGCCACCCCCCCTCACCTGCCTGTGTCCCCAGGTCACAGCTGAGGAGGCCCAGGAGCACTGGGAGAGCAGCTACGCCTTCTCGCTGACCCACTGCAGCCACGCGGCCTGGTGAGGTTGCAGCGGGTGGGGCCTGAGTGGGGCAGGGCAGGACCTCCAAAGGACTGGGGAAGGGGTCGCCACGACCTCGGGAATGGCTGAGCTCCACCCCTTGGCACAGGAACCGGCCCTGCCGACTAGTCCAGGACGGCAAGGACTGTGTGCAGGGCCTGCGCCTGCGCCACCACTACATGCTGTGCGGGGCCCTGCTGCACGTGTGGGGCCGCATCGCAGCCGTCATGGCCGAGGTCACCAGCAGCAGCTACTTGCAGATCGTGCGCCTCAAGACCAAGGACCAGAAGAAGCAAGTTGGTGAGGAGCGGTAGGGCCATGGGGGCAGTGCGGTAGGGGTCCTCCAGGGTCCCCGACCGCCCTCACGTTGCCCGCCCACGCGCCCCTCTGCAGGCATCAAGGTCCCCGAGGGCTGCGTGCGTCGCGTGCTGCAGGAGCTGCAGTTGATGGATGCTGACGTCAAACGCAAACGCCAGCGCCAGCGCAGCCTGGGCCTCCCTGCACCACCCCCGCCCACCTTGCCCCGCCCTCTGGCCCTACCCTGCGGGCCTGGCGAGGTGCTGGACCTGACCTATAGCCCGCCAGCTGTGCCCTTCCCGCCCGTGCCCCGCTTCACCTACCCTCCATTGCCCACTGAAATGCCCCCTGCCCCCGGCCTGCTGCTGGGTGCCCCCGATCCCACAGCGCCCCCAGACCCAGTGGACATGCCACAGCACGGCTGTGACATCAACTTCAAGGAGGTGCTGGAGGACATGTTGCGCTCCCTGCAGACCGTGCCAGCTGCGGTGCCCCCCGGCCCAGCTGCAGCAGGGGTTGGCGGGGGTCCAGAGCGCCAGAGTGTTATCCAATTTGGGCCACCCTTCCCCAACTCCTAGGCGAGCACACAGCCCCGACCTGGGGCACTTTCAGAGGCCTATTTATGTGTCCACATGTCCCTCCCCTCGGCCAGTGTACAGGGCAGTGGTCCTCTTCAACCAGAGGCAGGGAGCTGCTGCCCACCCAACCAGCCCCACAGGGCCCCCACTTCAGTGCCTTCCCAGGCTGACCCTCCAAGGGCCAGCACATGTGGACATGCCCCTTACCCCCATGGGTCTGTCAGGGATTCCCCAGGCCACCCTGCTCAGGATTAGGGGTAGGTGCGCAAGGGGTCAGGCAGGCCCTGGGGGTTGGGGCCCAGGACCCTCTGTGCCTCTTCTCTCCTGACCCCCCCAACCCGGAGGGCAGGCACCCTGACCAGGGGGCTCCCTGCTCAACCCACCAATGGCCACACCCGTCAAACTGGGTGGTCCAAGAGCTGGAGACTCAGGAAACCCCAGGTGCTCAGGGTCAAGGCTCCGGGGGCCCCCCCATTAATATATGCAATGCCCCCAGCCTCTCACTCCCTAAGTTATTGCATTGCCCCGCTGCTCTCCAGGCCTGGAAGCCCCTGGGGGCGGGGCCTTCTATCAGAGTGTATTTATAAGTCCCATGTACATATGTAAAGAGAGTTTTAAATATACATCCTTTTGATTATTTTCTTTGTCCTGTGCCTCTAACCACGCCCCTCCTGTATCTGTCTGCTCCTGGAGGGGAAGCTGGACACAGCATAGCAGTTCCTAAGGTTGCCTCCCTCAAGCCTCAGGGGCCTATGTCCATGTGTGGAGCTGAGGTCTGCCCAGGAACACACCTCAGATCTGGGCCAGTAGTACCCCTGGCCCCAGGTATAGGGGACCCCCTCATCCAGGAACGTGCCCTGGAGAGCTCCCAGGGTGCCTGGGGTGGGAGACATACCTCCCAGCAGGCCTCAAACCCATTCATCAGTGGCTCAGACCCCACAGGGTCTTAAGGCTTATATATCTTCAAAGCAGCACTCTGCTGCTTTCACCCTGCACTCTGGGGAGAGGGGTGTGTGTGTGTGTGTGTGCCCGCAAGTGAGTCAGAACCAACCCCACTGCAGAACAATGGCACCAGCGCCCCCCCCCCCTTTCCTAGGCTATCTCCAGGAGCCCCCGCCTCAGATACTACCCAGAGCCTGCCGGACAGACCAAGCGATTTAGGGGATTATCACCCTGGGCTGTGACCTGGCTCCATGCCACCCACTCCAAGGAGACAGGAGGTGCAAGCAGGCCGATTTGAATGTTTTATTCCCACAAAGCAGAGAAGCTGGCG